TTTGTCTATCTCTCTCTCTATCTCTTTCTCTCTTCGTCTCTCTTTCTATCTGCCTGTCTGTCTATTTGTCTCTCTCTCTCCCACCGTGTTTGCCTTGCTCACACTCTCCCTCATCTCTTCTTTATTTATTGAGCTCCCTTTCGATTTATCGATCCACTACAAGAAAATGCACTTTTAGCGACCACTTTGTCCCTTTTTCGCTCCTTACTCTGTCTCTTTCTCTATCTCTCTATCACTTTTCTCTATTCGTCTCTCACTCATCTCTCTCTCTCACCACCCATCTTCTCTACCACATTTACCACTACTACAAATGCCATTCAACTACCACCACTCTTCTCTTTCTCTCTTCACTCTTCTTTCTCCGTTTGTTTATCTATCTGTCTGTTTGTCTATCTGTCTTTCATTCATCTTTCTTCTCTCTATCTCTCTCATTTGTCTTCTCTCTCTGTCTCTCTCGCTCATCTATCTTCTCTCTATCCCTCTCATCTCTTTTCTCTCTTTGTCTCTTCGCTTATCTCTCTTTTTTCTCTCTCTCTGTCTCTCTCGCTCATCTCTCTTCTCTCTATCTCTCTATTTTTCTATTCTCTCTCTCGTTCATCTTTTTTCGCTCTCTTTCTCTCTCTTTTTGTATCGCTCATCTCTTGTTTCTCTCTCTTTTTCTGTCTCTCTCTCTATCTCTCTCTCTTTGTCTGTTTGTCTCTCTCTCTCTCTCCGTCTCTCTCTCTCACTCATCACTCTTAATAGAAAATATTTTTCATTAAAATATTATCCTTGCTTCTACCAAATAAAAAATAATAATAATAATTTTTCATTAAAATAAAAATGAAACAAATAAATTCTCAACCTTAGTAACAAAAAGAAAATGAAAATTATTATTTTTTTATTATTATTTAAATATTCATTTATGATGAAAATTATTATTATTATTTTTTTTTCCCAATCCCGCCCGCTCGGTTCCCCCATTTTTTTCCATTCTCGCGCCCCCAAAATCCCCAATCTCTTATAACCAAAATCCCTAATTTCTACCAAATCTCTCTCTCTCTCTCTCTCTCGCGACTGTGAATGAAGGAATCCAGACATCGACGACCATTGTCGGAGTCCTTAGCTTCTCTATCGATAACCATTACCGGCAAACGAAGTTTTTCAGAGTCCTTAGCTTCTCTCTCCGACCGTGACCAGCAAACTAAGCAAACAGAGCTCTCACCTCTCCCTTTGACCGAAGCTCTTGCACCTTTCCTTTCCACCACCCAATTTCAGGTACATGTACAGTACTGGATTAAGCTTACAGCCTATTTTATTTTGTATCTGGTCTGGTGTATTTTTTTTAGGTTGGGTTGAGCTCCCTTGTCCGTCGGTTGTCTAGGTTTTCATTGTCGTTCTCATATTATCTGTGCTGGAAGGTGTGTATGGCTTCCGATCTGTGCATCGAAAGGAACGATTACAAACGAGAGATTAGAGATTCACCGACAAAGAAGCAAAGGTGTGAGGATTACGGTTCACCACCACCGCTTTGTTCATCAGCAGAAGAAGAAAAAGAAAAAGAAAAAGGAAAAGAAGACCCTAGATCAAAAGTTGTATTCTATAACTACGATGATTCAGATGTGGAAGATGACAGTGACGGAAGGCATGAGTTTACTGATGTTCCGATCTGTGCATTGAAAGGAACGATTACAAACGGGAGATTAGAGATTCACCGGCAAAGAAGCAAAGGTGCGAGGATTACGGTTCACCACCACCGCTTTGTTCATCAGCAGAAGAAGAAAAAGAAAAAGAAAAAGGAAAAGAAGACCCTAGATCAAAAGTTGTATTCTATAACTACGATGATTCAGATGTGGAAGATGACAGTGACGGAAGGCATGAGTTTACTGATAGGGAATACCAAGAATATAATCGACAGATCACTGAAAGTGATGTAAGTTTGTGTTTGTGTTTGTTTTCGTTTTTCATTTATCTCTATTTTCTTCTAAATCATATATTATTGCTATTATTGTATTATTAATTTGTGGGCTTTACATACATACATACATATACAAACAGGGCTTTGATGTGATGTCGTTCCCACGCTCTTTTACTTGCGGTACAATAGCCCCTCTTTATAATTTCGATGAGATTGCCGACGACCTCAAATCTTTTTCTGAATTAGCTCTTAAGGAATACAATGAGAAAGAGGTGTATTTCTTTATTCAATTGAAGTTCTGTTTTGTTTTGTGTGTTGTGTGTGTGCTTTTTTTATTTTATTTATTGAGAATATATATATATAAAACATATATACATATATTAGACAATGTTTTTAATTAGCTTTGTTGTTCATGTATATGGTAAAATATGTGTGCAGCATACGAATTTGGAGTTTGTGAAGGTTGTCAAGGTAAACGTCGCTGGTGTTGCTGGTTTTTTGTGTTATATTACCTTTGATGTCAGGGATGCTACTGCGGTTGATGGTGGTACTATGGAATTTCAAGCTTGTGTCTGGGATGGGATTGCCCACACTAAAGTAGTCATTTCTAGGCTGAAATCTAGTACATAATCGAGGTAAATTAACTACTTTGGGTATATCATTAGTACCTATGTAATGACGTTTATTGGTCTGGCACCTTTCCATGCCTTCTGGGTTGGCATTTATGCTGCTTTTATATCTATTATATTCCGTGTTGATATCAAGTTTTGTTTGCTTTGGTGGCATATTTGTCCTAATGGAATTGTGTGGTAATTGATCGGTTCAATACCTTTTGTGTTTAATATGAATCAAGCTTGAAACAAAGGCTGATTGGGCTGGATCAATAATAGATGGGAGGGGGGACTTCAATCTGTTGTTAGGTACACTTGTATAGGGTGTTGTGTTGCAGCAAGGAATGGGTCATACTCATTTAGTTTTGTAGGATTAGGGACCTTAGGAACCAAGTGATTAGAGTGGAGGTAATTTCTTTCAAGATAGCATCACCAGAATTGAAAAAAAAAGAAAAGAAAAGGAAAGATGTAATAGAATAAAATACATTGTTATAAATGGCAGGCCAAGCTATCTTGAAGAACATGGCACTATAGCCATTGGGGCCAGGAGATTTCTTATCTTTGAGAGAGAACTAGGTTTCTCTAATCCCTTCAACGGCAACATCCATGTCCAATTTCTGTTTCTGTGCATCATTTAGTTGATCACTTTCAGTACAAGTTCATGTCTTCTATGCTTGCCTAGCACCGCCTCCATTATGGCCTAGCGGGTTTTGAAAATAAGTAATAATCTTAGCATTTACTTGGCATCATCAGTAATGGAAACTCCATCATCCCTTGTTATACCCATAATCACCTTCCAGAGATGACATAATATAATATAGTGGTGAGCTACAGTTTCCTGAACCTGAGAGTCTTTACTCGTACATCCACCTTTTGAAATAGATGCTATCTAGAGCTCAAATAATTTAAATTCTCTCTCTCTCTCTCTCTCTCTCTCTCTCTCTCTCTCTCTCTCTCTTGAGAGTAAACTGATGTGCAAAACAAGTAAATATTAAGTGCTTGTTCTCTTTTCCTTTGAAGTTTGCCTTCTGCTTGTATGTGATTAGATGCAGTGATACCTTGCTGTATACTTGTATTGTCTTTATAATTAGTTAAGGTGGATGTTTTATTCTAATGAATGTTATTTTATTGTAAAAAAAAAAAAGAAAAAAAAAAGAGAAAAGTGGATGCACCAAATTCATCTCTCTCTCTCACACACACACACACACATATGCACGCTCGCGCACACGCACACACACACAATGTATTTGTTTGTTGGAGGTTTCACCCTTGCTGCTATATACCCACCATGTTCCCATAGCAAGGTGTTAGTTGAGCTCACTTGTCTTGATTTACTATTTTTTCATATGTAGTCATGCTTGATATAGGTCGTGTTACTATTTCTCTTAATTGCTGTTTAATAAGACAGCAAAAGCATATCTAATCACTGTTTCAGATACTGGCATACATAATGGGAGGCTTTGCTTTATTTTTATTCATTCCATTATTATGAGGTTGGATGGATGACTAACAATTTCTATGTTGGTGCATTTGGCAAGTCACTAACAATTTCATTACAAGATGTATTCTATATGACTAATATATTGGTTAACATAAGTTGGTTTCTGAGCTAGAAGCAAGAGGTTTGATGCAGAAATCTTATAAGAAATGCTGTCATTGAGACCTAAAGTTGTTATTCACTTAATTTGATGTGTGTGATGTCTGTCAAAAATTGAATACATTGGTAAACCAGGAATGTCCTTGTTTAGCAAATATCTTAATCCTTTCCATATGTTTTCATCTAGTTCCTTAATATTCATAGCACTCTCTGTATCTCATATTAGTAACTTTGCATCCTTGTTCTCATCTTCATCATAGTCATCGTCATCTATAAATTAATGCACTGCAGGGAATTTTTGTCACCCTAGTACTTTGATTGTTTCCTATCCTGTCTTCAGATTCATGGGCATGAGAAGTAGTCTTCCTTTTTTAGTAAATTTTTTTTTTTTTTTTTTGTGTGTGTGGCTCTTTTGGCTATTTTTTAACTCCCCAAACTTACCCTGAATATGACTGGCATTTGTGCTCCCCTGTTGCATGAGGTGGATATTTAAATCTTAACAAGTAAATTTATGTTTTGAAGTTGACCTAATTTCATCAATTGGGCCACATGCCACTAGTTCTATGACGCATGCTTTGTTAGTTTCTATGTGAGCACTGAAGAATGAATGTAGTTTTAGATATTCTGCTGTAGCCTGTACATGATTTGTTTTGTCTATGGGCATTGAGAAAAATATTTGGTTCCGTCATTGATCTTCTACTTCGCTAACTGCTAATTATATCTGGATTGTGAATCATATATCATTCATGTTCAATTTTACAATTAAGCAAATTTACAAAATCCTTTCAGATTCTGTGTTGGGTGAATTTACCTGAAAATATAATCTGTGTGATTGATCCATACGAGTCACAGGCTTAATGATGAGTCTCATTTTATTGTTCATGTTATTTCTTTTTTCAGGTTGATCTGCTCAGAGGTCAGAAATCAAATAAAGTTGATGTCACATTACAACCAGAAGAGTTGGAAGTAATGAACAATGTCTTGCATGCAAAGTAAGTCTGAGTCCTCATAGTTTGTTTAGTGTCAGTATCAGTATCAGTACATTAGCTACAAGGCGCTTAATTCATATTTATTTTGCATTTCACAGGTATGAGGAAGCAAGGAGGAGGAGAAGCTGCGTAGTCAGCAGGAGGATTTCAGTGACATGGTTGTCGAGGTGTGCATCTCTCACAATCTTTCTGATTTTGTACTTGTTTTAATTAGTATTTATGGACACTTTTGTTCTGATGAGGTGGAATTTTTTAGAATGAGAAGAAGAGGGAACAGAAAATGCAGGAAAAGGATGGAAAATCGAAGAAAAAGGATTTCAAGTTCTAGGACGTGCTGCTAGTTTTGTGATCGGAATGTTAGAATGCCAGATCCATTATGCTTTTCTTAGGCACCTCTAAATTTTTATCATTCGGAATCATAATTGTTGTGTGTCCATTGCCAAAAATGTAGTCCCATTCCATGGCACCAAACACAGCCTTGGTGTTATGGGTTTGGTTAATGAGAAATTTGTTGGTGATTTTATATGCTGCTACTTTCTATTTCTCCATTGCTTAGGATGGAAAATATGTTATATATCAAAGTTGCTTGATGGATTTCATGTTCTTGGTGTGAATGCATGCTTTTCCTCGAGGCCTGATAACCTGAAGCATAGTTGAGACCAACAATTCTGAATGAAAATAATTTTTAGAAATGCAGGAAAACAATTTTATACACAGCTCATAATTTTTAGAAATGCAGGAAAACAATTCTGAATGAAAATAATTTTTTTAGTTATTTTTCATTTAATACAGGCCATTTTCATATTTTTAATAATTTTATTAAAGTTTTTTTATTTATTTATTTTTTTTGAGACGACAGCACACACACCGTCTCAAAAAGAAAAATAGAACCAGGGTTTTTTGCGACGGTAGTAATGCTATCACAAAAGATAGGGCATTTGATTGAAAATGAAGTTTTTTAGCGACGGTATCATTTGCCATCGCCAATAGTACTTTAGTGACAGCATCAAGTGCTGTCTCAAATAACCCTTTAGCGACAGTATTTGTGCCATCGCAAATAACCCTTTTAGCGACAGAAACACAGTGCCGTCTCAAAAAAACTCAGATTTTTATGCATTAATGGCGACAGCATTTTTCCGTCGTAAAAAAGCATTTTTGCCGTCGCCTTTTTTTTTGCGACGGCATTATACCGTCGCTAAAACCCTTTTGCAACCCCCTTTGCTGCGACCCCCCACTTGCCGTTGCAAAAGGCCAGTTATCGTCGCAAAAAACCTTTTGAGACGGCATTTTGAGTATTTGCGACGGCATTTTACCATCGCGAAAAAGCAATTTTTTTGTAGTGTTGCCAACTATTTCCAATATGAATCTCAATCACTAATTACCTTACCACAGTCTCATAATTTAATTAGAAAATTAACCTGCGATGTATATCAAGACACTACAGCTACAAGGACAACTATCAGGTTGTATGGCCTTAAGCACCAGAGTAGATTCAGCACCCACAACAATATATATATACATGCAACAATAGACACGCCAACATGCATTACATATTTTACTAATTACAAGCACGGAAAGCCAACGATAGACCCTTTTTCATCACAACACAAGTATGAAAGTAAACTGCACAAAACTATCATATAACATAACCTGGTTTCGTCAAGCCATAACCACCATAACACACTTTACCGGGCTTGAACCGGAAGAGAGCAGAACCTGTCTCAAAGCGTCACACTTTACTAGTCCTCGAGCCAGAGAAAAGAGGAACCTGTTCACACTTTACCGAGTGCAAACCGAAGGGGAGAGGAACCCATTCAAAGCGCCACACTTTACCAAGCACAAATCCGAAAGGAAGTAGAACCTTTATCAATGCGCTTCTTCATTCAACTCAACAATTGGCACATTATTCCAAATTTCACAATTTATTCAACAACGTCAATACCATCCTCTACCAATGGCCAAGGACACAGCCTCTAGAACAATATGGATCAATTCTCACACTTGACTTCACAATTCCTATTCATCAATAATTATGACATGTGTCAGTTCCGTAAATTCAATTTTTCCCCCATTGGTTTAGATTTTATCAATATTCATACATTGCATAACTTCTATCATTTAAATAGTAATTGATTCAAGTCCAAAATATTCCAGTTTTGGCTCAACAAGTAGTAATTTCATCATGACTTATAGCGATCCCGGTATTCCCTGTTGTTGTATAACTATAATCTGGACTCAGTTTCGTAGATTCGTTGTTGTCTTATCCTCATTTCTATCCCTTACTCTTTGTTTTAGAGTTTTGGGTTGTGTTGGTTTTAAAAAAAGCCACCAATTTTCATTTCCCATTTTAAAAAAGTATATGAATTCTTTATAAATTTCAAAATTTATTTTCCCCTTCCTCCAAATTTCCAATACCCACAACAAATCATCAATTTTCTCTTTACTAGTTATCAAAAACCCATTTAGTCAATTTATGTTCACAATCCAATATATATATGTATATATAAAATACAAATTAATCCCATCACTCCAATACACACATTTACCAACACCCCTTCTTATTTCTCTAAAATCCCGATTTCACAATAATTGTTACAACTCATCAATTATGAACCATCCACATGGTTCAAATAATATCAAATCATCAATTTTCATCTTTTTCTCATAACCATTAAATAAATAATTAGAACTTTTTACTCTAAATCATTAAACATGTTCGTCAAGCATACGATCTCATAAATTCACAGCAAAACACAAGATTTAACTCAAAATCATGAAACCCTAACCCTCATCACATGCCTTTCAAAAAACATCCAACTACTCAAGTTTTTAATACAATAAAAACTACATGTCTATCTATAATAAAGTATTGAAAATGAGCAAAGAAATCCCTAACTCAAAGAAAGAAGATGAGGAAGTCCAAAAATTAACTTTATCGGAAATCAATCTCCATAGGTCAAAATGTAGCCTCTGGAATCCTCGTCATTTTGGTATATGGAATTAATACTAAAATCTCTATGGATCCTACTAGATCAAGAGAAGAAATGAGGATGAGTGTAGGTTTTTAGAGAGATAGAGCAAGAGAGAGAGAGATGCAAAAGTGATGAAAATGGGGGTGTGGGCTTAGATTTGAGAGAGAATGGCCCAAAATTCAAAGCGAAAAACAGTCTGGGCGGGCACGCGAAAGCCCATGCCGCACGTGCGGATCCTCCTAGTCACCAACCCAAGTTTGCTCCTTTGATGCCGCACGTGCGGAGCCTCACACTGCACATATGGGACTACCAGTTCTGACTGGATCTTCCCGAGGTGACTCTGCACCTCCAATTTTCATCCTTGCACCCGAAATTAAAAAAAATTAGGGATACTTACGTGTAGATCTTAATAAGTGGATTTATTGTCTAATAGGCCCTATAGAAAAAATTTGTCATAAAAAAAGTCACTAATTGTAAGTTTTAGCCACAATTTATAAAAATCATGACAAAAAAAAGTCACTAATTGTCAATTTTTAGCGATAAAAAAATTATTTTTAGCGACAATTTTACCAAGACTTATTTTCAATAGGACTTGATGGGAATTAAGTACAATTATTAAGACCTATTGGTAGTTTATCCAAAATTTTAAAACACAAGAAAGTTTAAGGACAGTTAGACAAGGTCGAAAAGAAACTTCAACAATGACACTACTCGAGGCTCCAGAGATCAAAATGACAAATTCGAAAAGCAACCATCAAATCTGATCCAAGACCAGGACATCACATTATATTATAATTTTATATAAATACAAAACTTAAAAGTTGATAATAAATAAGTGAATATAGTGGGCCAATTTTAATACCCTTATGATATTTTATTTTAAAAGTTTAAGATTGCATAGTGTCAACTGTCAAGTTGGTGCCACGTTAAGAGAAGAAAAAAAAAACTTAACGAAAATACTACTTTGGGTAAATTACAGTGGTCTCTTGAGATAATTACACTGACCTCCCCTCATTTTTTTTTTTTTTTTTTGAAATTACATTCACTTCTCTTGTGGCTAACAGCATTAATGGAAGGTTTAGTTCAGTAATTTTAACATTAGAGATATTTTTGTTGATAACCATTAAATTTTTGGTTATACCTTATGTAGGGTTTGGTTAAGACTTTTTTTTTTAGTTATGACAGCAAAAAAAAAAAAAAAAAAAAAAACAAAACAAAACAAAACAAAACAAACAAACAAACAAAAAGTTATAATATTTGTGGTAATTAATGCCACAAATGTTATAATTTATATATGATACACATAAAATAGCGTGTATTCTAGAATAAACTAAATGGTGGTGGAAATTTGGCAATCAAATTCATGCACTTTGGAGGAGAATCATCTGTAGTAAATACAAGGTCGAGGTTCATAGTTGGAATCCTCCTGTGAAATTTTCTTACAAACAATCTAGGGTGTGGAAGGACATTCTCTTTATTGGGGTTTCATAGTAGTAACATCTTTAACTTCTTCTTGGTTAACTGCCAAATCAAGGTGGGGGATGGCAGTAGAATCAGATTTTTGTATGATAAGTGGTGTGGAGTCACTTGCCTCAAGGATGAGTTTCCTTCCCTTTTCAACCTTTCTGATGATTAGAAGGGCTCTCTCTTCAACAATATTTTTCTAGGAAAACCAACTATAGTGAGTGGAACTTCATCTATAGAAGAACCTTGTACGCTTGGGAACTGTCTTATGAAATTATATTGCTTAGCATATTGGCCTCTGCTTCCACTTTGAGCCCAGGGTGTATTGATAGTTTGGTCTGGAATTCTGCAACTGCTGGTTCATGTTCCTTCTCTGCCTCTTCTCTTTTTTCCTTTAGTACTTCTCTTCTGGGGCCTCATCTTAGCATAACCAAATTTATTTGGAGCAACTCCTTACCTCCCAAAGTCTATTTGTTTGGATGGCTGGCTTGGAAAAATAGAGTTAAAACTGCAGATTTCTTACACAATCTTGGCATTCTAGGTACCAATTTCTCCACCACTTGCATCTTCTGCAAATCTGTTCCTGAAACTACCAATCATGTTTTGCTTCGTTGCCCTTTCTCTTGGTCCATTTGGTCTGTTGTGCTATTTGACTGGGGGCTTCAATGGTGCATACCAGAATCTGTGGCAGACTTACTTAACTGGTAGATGGGTGGAAAATACAAGTGCTTAATCACCAAAGTTTGGAGAGCCATTCCTTTTGTTGTTCTTTGGTCTCTTTGGAAGCATAGGAATGAGTGTGTATTCTCTGATGCCCATCCTAATTCGATGGATCTGTGGGAACTAATCAAGGTCAGATTAGCTTATTGGCTCAAGGCCTCTATCAAGGACTTCCCCTTTTCAGTCGCTAATGTAGTTTGCAATTGGAGAAATTTTAGGAGCCTCAATTGAGTATATATGTTCAGTTACTGGTTTGTTGGTCTGTTTTCAGGGTTGATCTATTTTGTGGCTGAACAGTCATGTTTTGCTGGTCTGTTGACTCAGAGTAGGTGTTCAGTTTTACTTGTTTAGTCTCAAGTCTTTATGTTGCTTAATTGCATGCTTTGTCTCTGGTCGTTGCTGTCTGGTTCCTGGATGTTGGTCTTCTATGCATA